TTATTACAATAATAAATACGAAAGACCACACCCACAGGTTGGCTTGTTGGTCACCTACTCTAACAATAATGATACTGATATTGATACCGATACCGATATTGATGCTGATACTAATGCTGATACCGATCCTGATATAGATAATGATACTGATATTTAGACTAATATTAATATTAATATTAATACTAATAACAATACTAATATTAACACTAATATTAATACTAATAGTACTATTACTAATGTTATTACTAATCCTAATATTAATACTAATACTAATACTAATATGTTAATATTGTAAATGTTAATGCTAATATACATATTCTAATGCTAATACTAATTTTAATGTTAATGTTAATCTGGATATGCTTATGTTGATTATAATTGTAATACTAATATTATCTAAATCCTTGTCCTATTTCTAATCCTATTCATAACACTAATTATAATTCTAATCCTAAACCTATTTCTAAAATTAATTATAATCCTAATAATCGTATTACTAATAATACCAATGCAATGCTAATGGCATAATCCTAATCCCAATGCTAATCATAATCATAATACTAATACATGTCACTAATTGCAGTATGAATCAATAATCATAATCTTAATTATAATTCTAATACTAACATTAATCATAATCATAATCCTAATATTAATTATAATACTATATTAATCCGAATCATAATCCTAGTATTAATACTAATACTAATTCAAAGAATATTAATTATAATTATAATTCTAATACTAATACTAATCACAATCCTAATTATGATTTTGCATAAATGTTTTTGCAATTATCTATTATTTTGTATCAAAAAAATTATATTAAATCTCGCAACTTTTATATCAAATTCCTTATGTGTGGTACCTGAAACATCAAGAAACACATATTAAATATATTAGAAATTAATATTTTATTATATTATCAAACTCACATTAAAATTATTTAAAATAATATAAGGGTATATAAGCAAACGTTTAGACGTGAAAATAATGATAATTGTTGTTAATAGGATAAATTACGAAAATCCTCATGAACTTAGACTAAATTACGGAAATCACCCCCACTTATCGGTAATTACCAAAATCCCCCAGATGTTTGTTCATGTCTTACACGACCCCCTTATGGTGTGATTTTGTACGGAATCTTTTTTATTCCATGTAATATCTCAAAAATTGTGGATTCTATCCTTGTAGACATGACATTTCTTTTATCTTACTTTTTAAATACAAAAATTACCCTTATGGGAGGTAATAGTGATACTAAAAAGTTGTGAAGATGTTATTTAAGAAGAATAAATACTTCGTGTAAAGTCCCCCTCAAGGTAATTTTTGTTTTTAAAAAGTACCATAAACAAATGTTGTGTGCAGGGTAGAATCTGCATTTTTCGGGGAATCTTCCACATAATAAAAACAATTCCGTGAAAAGTCATACCGTAAGGGGGTCGATGTAAGACGAAAACAAACATCAGGGAAATTTTGGTAATTACGAATATAATATTAAATTAGAAAGAAAAATAAACATATTCTCTGGTCATGTTCATGTAAAATGTATAATATCAAATGATTTATTCTGCAATATTTTTTTTTATATAAATCCAAGTTTTATAAATTAAAATACGAAATTTTCGTAACACCATCAATCACACAATTATAATAAGTGAGGATTTTAAATTGAATTTAAAATAAATTAATTACTATTAAAATTAATTTAAAAAATAAAACTATTTAGAGTTTCCAAGTAAGTTGAAATATTTAGAACATTTTATAAATGGTATGATATAAATATATAATAAAATAATTAAATATCTTTTTAATTTTGGAAAATGGTGACATGTTTTTTGATGGTTTATTTTCACCAATCAGTTCGCCACATGGGATGAAATTGAATACATGTCACCGATTGAAATTGACAAATGTCAATTAATTAGGTGTGTAATTCAACTTTTATATATTATATAGATTATAAATTTTTTTTATTGAACCAACATTTTAAAAATTTCTATTTGAGGATATATCGTTGAACTATGAAGTACGTATCTCTTTTACACCACCGCATTTGATGATTTTATTTCGAAATGCACAACTTTATTTTGGTATATATTAACCCATTTTCGAGCCCGTCGAGAAGTGAACTTATAATAAGCAGGTATAAAAAGCTTAGAAGATGTTTAGAGTTATAAGTTATTCCAAAGATTTTACTATTGTAAAGATTCATCTTAAAAATTCTCAAAATAAACTGTTAGATAGCTTTTAAGATATTTTAAAAAAAATACATCTACTCCACATTTTTATTTAAAATCTTATAATTAATAAAAACAGTTTATAAGTTTATTATCCTAAGTCCTAACACTTTAAAGATTAATGTGAAATATAAGACGTAAGAACTTATCAACTCTTAAAACAATTTATTTGAAGTAAGAATTTATCAACTGTTTAAAATAAGTTTAGCCAAACGGCCCCATAAATTTCGATAATTGCCCATATTTTTTGTTTGATATATTTTGTGTTTTGATGTTAAAGAACAAGAAAAGTTAAGAATTTTCAAAATATATAGCAAGAAATTAGTAAAACAATAAATTAAATTAAAATGATTAAATCCCACGTTTGGCATAACTAGGTATGTATATAATGTCCTCTACTTCTCGCCAGGATGCATCTGTCCAAATGCACCTACCTAACAAATGAAATAGTCTCTTAGAATTTAGAATTTATAATTTCGAATGGACCACTCCCATTCATTTTCTCCACTTGTCTTTTCTTTATATATATATATATATATATATATATATATACACCAAATTTTAATTTAACAATCATTTAATTTTTGAATTGATAATCGAAGAGGAACATTGATTGATAGTAACATTAATTTAGTGTGTCCTCAAGGGAGTGTATTTGACTATTTAATTTTAGGCAAATCTCACTAACAGCCCCTCATCTTGATATTTAGTTTTGACCTTGCTTCGAGATTAGTGGATCAACTCAATAGTCTTGAAGCCAACCGATCTCCAAATCTAGGAATCTTCAAGTCCAACAGGGGAAATGTTGAGGATCTTTGCAGTGTGTTCAAAGTGATCAAAGATGTGAGGATGCTGAAGATTCTGCAAAAGAAATTGAGACACTAAGTGACTCGCTGGGTGCGCCCCGCGATTACACTATAATGCTCAAATTAGATATCGGGAATGATATTATTCAAAAGCTCAAATATTAGCGAAAAGAAAGTATATCTTACCAAATGATCCACGCTTCATTCTTATCGACGATTTGGTTGCTCATTTCTTGTAGAAAATCAACGTGGAATAGAAGTAGCGCCTTAAATGGACTATTCCCCTAATTGTTAATTATTTGTCATAAATTATTAAAAAAAATACTTAATTAATTTTACAATTTAAATATAATATTTGCAACAAGAAAAATATAACTTATAAAAATATATTATAAATTAATTTAATATGCAAATAATCATTTAGATTATTTTGTTGATATGACTTGAATTTAATAAAGAGGTCGACTAAAATAAATATCGTTTTTTCTCACTTCAATACCACCAACATAAAAAATAGATAATAAATAGGTAATAAATATGTAATGACATTAATAATGTTAATAGAATCAATACCACACGAATTTTGTATATGGTATTAATTTCCATTAAGGGTAATACGGTCATTACTTATTTATTATCTATCTATTTTTTATTTTTTATGTCGGTGGTATTGAAGTGAGAAAAAAAAAACGATATTTATTATAGCCATTCGCCTTAATAAAACGTAACTAAATAATAAGATGACGGATTGACGTTTAATTTTATTTCCGTACATTTTGCCTTGATGCAGAATTCTTCAGGTCAAGCTACAAATGATTTGTTTTAACCCAACCCGTTTTATTTGGGGCCCAACCCGTTTACCCATTTCGAAGAAAACGAAATCTGAGTTGGCTGAACCGAGTCTGGTCCAATGAGTCATATGACAACGACACATGAAAAATTATTACAAAACAATCAACTCATTTCAAATCTCGAGGAGCGCCTCTATGCTTGTCCTATCCTATGTTTACCGGTTCAACTAAATTTAATCGGTTCTTTTTATTAATATTTAGTTTTAATTATTAAATAATCTAATGACTTCAATTCAATTTCTAAATCATATACAGTAATGCTAAAGCATAAAGATAATGAAATTAAATATTATATTATGTCATATTGGTTGTAAGTTTGGTATAAGATGTTTGAATTCTAAGTTGTTTGTGATGTCTTCCATCAATATTGGGGAGAATTATTATATTTATTTGATTCAAGAACAAAATTCAAAATCCTCGAATTAAATTTTGGAAATCCGGAGACTGTAATCAATTTTTTTTTGATAAATAAATACATTTGTTCCTAAATTTCTTGTCTCGTATTAATATTTTGTAGACACGAAATTTATGGCGAACAAATTGGCTTCAACTCTTCAATTTGCGGGCTTCGGAACATCGTCTTTTAACAGACTCAAAGTTGCATCTCCAAAACTAATAAAAGCGTGTAGCGTTCCATTTTCGTCATTATTAGTAATATTGCACTGTAAATAGATAATAGAGTCAGTTAGTTAGTTAGTTGCGTATGTGTATATATATAGTGTATGCATGAGCTGCAAAACTCGATCGCGTTATCTTCTTCACCCATCCGAGGGTCGTGGTCTTAGTCTCGTTTCACAATTGCTCATCACATGCGATAATTATTCAGACGATGATTTTGGAGCACCACCTTATGATGATTCAATTCGGGTATTCGTAAATCTCAACCAACATATAATCTAGAGCCCCAACGTGTACTCGTCGCACTCAATCAGTTCCAAGGAGATTCACTAGGTTAACAACTCGTCTATTTTAACAAGTTGAAGTTTCCCATAAACCCGTAGTAGATAAGATTTACGTCCCTTTGTCGACACACCATTATATTTCGTTGTTTCGATGTAATTCTTCCCGACATGATAAATAAATAAATAACACCATTTTATACACAACTATATAATTCCAAATTAACACCATCATGTGGAGATTTTAACAGTAATTATGACATCACTTTTTTTTTGTTTGAAAAAGCACACACATATACATTTGCATGCTTATTATTGATGTCCAACTATAAATTAAAAATATTAATATTATAGTAATAATATATAAAGGAAAATTAACAAATAAAAAAATAGGCTAAGAGGCATTTCTTGATGTTGGTAGGCCAATGAATAATTCAGTCACCACCTCCGACTCCATTGCAGTAGTACTATGGCTTTCAATCGTTATTTCTTTCTGTTTTTGTGCTGTATTCTTTGGTCTGAATCCAAACTGAAACTGGTAATACCATATATTTAATTTTGCATTAATTTTCTAAGATAATTAATATAGATTTTCAAGAAATTAAGGTGTGATTATATTGATATCTTACCTTTTCACTTAACCTTGCATTTTCTTCCAACAGAATCTTTTCCTGGAAAAAAGAAAAATATAAAATTTATGTACTTGAAATTGGGGAAATTGCAATTTTCAGTCCTATGTGTAATAGTTTTTGCAAATTTAGCAGTTTTCTTTATGTTTCGATTGATGTTTTTTTTGTTTTTTTGGTTTCACGATGCGACAAATAAATTTGACGGATTTTACTTATATGCACACTTTGGCGAAGTGACAAACAAGTTATGAGGGCATTTTTTATTTTTAGCGCACTTATAAGTAAATTCCGTCAAGTTTATTAGCCACGCCATTAATCAACGGGTAAATTAACTGAAAAATCAAGCGAAATACAACCAAATTAAAGTATTAAATTTGCGAAGCTTTTGCATGTAAAATCGGAATAGCACTACTCAGATGATTTAAATCCACCAATATAGAGGACGGCCAAAACGACAATTTCCCATGTAAAAATTAAAAATCGAAGGGAAGAAAAATTCAGTTGCATGGGCCGTACCTTGACTCGCAACTTTTCGATTTCCTCCTTGAATAATTGAGACTGAAAATAAGCAAGAAAATTATCACACATTATATATATATATATATATATATATTTGTGTGTGTGTGTGTGTGTGTGTGTGTGTACCTTTTTGGCTCTGATGTTATTAATGCTTCTCTCAAGCTGGTTGTCAATTTCTTGAAGCTCCTCTATGGAACACACAACAAGATTGTGCCCTAAAAGCTTACTGATTATACATATTTTTAAAATTTAAATTAAAAAATAAAAAATAAAAAATCATAATCATATATAGAGATCAAATATTTAAGTTAAGATAAAAAAAGGCGAAAAGAATTAACCGTTGCGAATTCTCTAGTAGCTCTATTTTACTTGCCATAATCGCTGCTTCGTACTGTAAATGCTGCATAAATTATCATAAGTTATAAATTAGCTACGATTGTTTTCAATACCGACCGATTATTAGGTCAAAATGTTTACCATACGTCGCGCAAAATTTGTAGATAGCTCAAAGCAGTAAAATCTAAGATTAATTTTTTTAAAGTTCACTATTTTATGATATATGACAACTAAATAAATATTCAAAAATCAAACAAAATCATGTGCTAATTAATTAATTAACCATTGACATACCTGTGTGTGTTGTTGAACTTCAGTACTCCGATTATCGTCTTTGGCACGTTGTAAGTATTTCTCTATTGTCTTCTGCATGCTGAAAATTCAATAAAAAAAAAAAAAAAAAAAAAAAAAAAAAAAACCATATACATATTGATTAGATTCACAATAGAGTTTTTTTTTTTATTAATTGATCTTTACCAAATAATTAATTATTATTTTTTCAGAAATAAATTAGAAAATGTAGTTAACAGCCTCATAAATAATCATGGTCCACAGTTGTAGTAAATATTAAACCTAATTACTGAACAAGTGGGCACTTGATATACTGCATTATTTCATTTGACTAATAAATGAAAATAAATACCAATATCAGATCGAAATTAATATTTTTATCTCTTGTGTCACGTCGAAAAATATGTGGTCGTTAATAATATATACCGTCGCATGTTTTTATTCAGTGAAAATATGAAATGTATACATGATGAAAGTATGAATCTGAACAGAGGATACAAATGGGAAAACTATATATATGACAATTTACTAAATACATTAAAAAAAATTAAAATTCTCGAGAATTTTACGAGATATTGAAGGAAATGTTGTTGATAAATTGATTAATTATATCGTATATGCCAGGGTATATATGATAGGAAATTGAACCCCCAGCTAGTCTTAGTCCCTTAATTACTATGAAATAATTATTAAATAATTTAGGAAGTTATTTCTAATTAATTACTATTTGTTGGCATAAGACAAACTCAAATTTAATATAGCTTATAAGATATATATATTCTTCCTTAGTGTGTGTATAAACATTATTTGGTAAATTCTTGCTCAAAACTTGTTGGGAACAAATTAAACATTAAGCTTCTACTCTTCTTTAAATATTCAAATGAATTACTTAAATTATATGTAATATAATTAAGCTTATTATTAAACATACTAATTATATATTAAACTTTTATTACTAATATATGAGTTGATTATTGAATTAAGATCGAGGTCGTCTATCTTTGATCTGGTTCGTATACCACACATGATCGAAACAATTTCACATGGTAGACTTTACGAAGAGAAAATGACAAAACTAATTTAATGATATATATATATATATATATATATATATATATATATATATATATATATATATAAACTAATTAACAATATATAATTAAAAATGAAATATAAATAATATAGAAAAAAAGGTAATTAAATTACTTACTCGGAGCTAGAAAATTGATAAAGTCTTCCTTTCTGAGAGAAGAGAATAAGAGCAACTTCAGCATCACAAAGAACTGAGAGCTCATAAGCTTTCTTGAAAATCCCGTTTCTCCTCTTCGAAAACGTCACTTGCCTGCTCGTCGCGTTTTCGATTCTCTTCATTTCCACCTTCCCTCTCACCATTATTTTTTTTTTCTCAAAAAAAATTATTTGTGTATATATTGAATAAATGAAACCCTTATGACAAATTAATAAATAACGGCGGGAATTCAAATTAATTACCAGAAAAATAAAAAAAATAGCAAGAACCCCCCAGAGTGAGAAAAAGCCCTTCCAAATTACAATAAAAATCCTTATTAAAAAAAGAAAAAAAAAAAAAAAAACCCTAGTAGATTTACATGCCAAGAACTCAGATTAGAACAACTGATCGATGCTAACAACCTTTTTCTAACCCTAGATTAACTTAAAGTTGTAAGAATTGATGAAATCAAAATGGTTGCAGTAGAAAAAAATCAAGAAGATTATTCAAGATTTTAGAAATGGAAAGCCAAAGAAATATACAAGAGAGAAGACACACAAAAAGAAGGTTGTTTGTTTATAAATATAAAAAAAATAAAAAAATCTGACAGTAATTGATGCAAACAATATAATCTCTTTATTTCAGAATTCAGACCGCATATATATATATCATATGACACAACAAACAACACAAAACATTTCCTTATATCTATGTGTGTATATATATATATGCTATCCCCTCTATAAAGGGAAAGCCACAAATAAAGGTCAACACAAATTATCTGAATCATAAAATATACAAATTAAAAACTAAAAAAAATTAAATATATATTGTTTTGGAGTTGGCTGTTTATGGCTATGGAGAAAGATTTGATGGAAGCTCAGCTAACGCAAAAGGGAAATATTTTACTGTAATGAACATCATCGTACGATGGGGTGACGTGTCCACCAATTGGGTTCTGACAACTCATTTTTTTTTTTAGTACAGTTTGACCAATGGGAATCGAACTTGTCATGTGACAATTCTGTATGTGTAGCTTGCTACAATGTTTCTCTCTCTAGAAAAAACGCTCTGCCTTCTCTCTAGAAAGTTGTGTCTTTCCTACGAAGATTTTGATCGATTTTAGCCATTCATATATTCGTTTTTCATTTCATTCATTCTGGTTAGTTGATCATCGTTTCTTATTGTCATTTTAGTTCAATTATCCATCGGTTTTGAGGTTTTCGTGCTCTTTGCATTTAATTTTCTCAAAATTTGGTGGTGTTCTTTGTTTTTTTTCGTGTTTGTGTTTGGGTCAGCCGTATTTGTGTTTGGGTCAGCCGTATTCTTGTGTTTTTGTGTCGTTTTTTGGTTGTTTCTCCTTCATTTCATTCGGTTTTAGGGCTGCTTTCATTCCTTGTAATCTCAGCTTCGTTTTTGCTTCCATTCTTGGGCGTTTTTTGCTCGTTCTGCTTCTTTAATTTCAGTTTTAGTGGAGGTTTGTTTCGTCCTCATTTTGTTTCGTGTCTTGTCATCGGTTTTTCGTGTCTCCGTCATATCTCCGCCTTCTCTCGGTGGAGATCTTCGAGTGGGTAGCTGCTGCTTGTGCCCCGCATGAATCTAGACTCTCATCTTGTCTTGGTTCCTCCTTTAATTAGTGCAGCAAATCAAGATCATTCTAAATCAGGACCTTCCTTTTCGGACGTGGTAATTATGGAAGATTTCACCAATCAATCTTCCTTGATTGTGGAAGCTGAATCTTCTACACAAGGCAAGGTCGCCACAATTCAAATTTCACCAACCACTTTTCCCGCCCGTCCCACCTCACCCCTTGACTTGGCTAGAACTCCTCACCTCAGCCAACCACAATTCGCCAAGTTTACACCACTTGCCAAATCACCATCCTATGAGGATTTTTCTAGCCTCAAACTACCGGTCCCTAAGCCCATCTCAGCCCCTAACTCTCCTAAGAAAGGCCTATCTTCCACTCTAAAACCGGCTCACGATAATATTACTCAAATTCGAGCCCAAAACCCTAAAACGGACCACCTAAACCCCAATCTTGTGGCCCAAGCTGGTTTTATGTACAATTCAAACACTAAAAATGATATTTCTATCCCTATTTCTAAATTGGACAATCATAATCCGAATTCTCAATTCCAAACCCAAAATCCCCAATTAAAAAACCCCAATCCCGAAATTGAAACCCCTAATCCCGAAATTCAAACCCCAAAATTCCAATTCCCAACCAAATCCTTTGCTGCTGCTGTACACGGTGATCTCGGACCTCCAATTGCTTCTTCTAAGGTTGATCGTCGTCGTCACTTGCTCCACCGAGAAGATATCGCTCCAATTGGGACAATTAAAGTGATAGATGGCAAGAATGTGCTCTATTTCTCGAAAGAGGAGGTTGATAAGATGCTTGAGCCGTTAAAGTACACCTTGATTGGTAAGTTTTCTCATGGGATACCTCACTACAAAGTTATGGAGAAGTTTATTTACGATTTAAAGCCCCGCGGTTCCTTTGAGTTGCATAAATTGAATTATCGGCATGTGTTGATTCAATTCTCGGTATTAGATGATTATTCTTTGCTTTTGAGAAGATCGATATGCTATATTGATGGGCTGCCCATGCGTGTTTTTAAATATACTCCGGGCTTTAATTTGAAAAACGAAACTTCTATAGCGCCGGTCTGGGTTAATGTGCCGGGAGTTCCTCCTTATATGTACAACCGGGAAGCTATATTCTTCCTTGCTTCTTCTATTGGAAATCCACTTGAGTTTGATGATTTTACAGCCGATCGAAAGAAGCTATATGTTGCTCGATTTTGCGTCGAAATTGATCTCTTGAAACCGAGGGTTGAACAAATTCCGGTGATGACTGGCTATGATGATATTGAGATGATTTCCTTGCCGGTAAACTACGAGAACGTCCCAAAATTCTGCACGTTTTGTTCTCACCTGGGTCACTCGGTTGAAAATTGTTATATGAATGGAAATGCTAAAAAACCGGATTTTCCACCACCGCCACAACAGATTCCCAAACCCACAGCCCCACCAAAGGAAAAACAAGTTTGGCGACGAGTTGAAAAGAGGAAAAATGTTGTTGTTGAAAACATGGATATTCCTAAAACATCGGGGACAAAATCAACTGAAAATCCTAGTTTTTCTCAAGCTATTGTGCGGAATATTGCCGATAATATTAGTGAAGGAGATTTTGAGCATTACAACCCCTTTGAATTGTTGGAGAGTGGGGTTCAAGAGGATATAGAGGCTGCTCATATTCAACCGGATGTTGCTTCCAAACATGTTCCAAAATCTTCGAAAAAGGGCCGAAAAAATACTTCTAACACCAAACAACCGATGAGTCCAGACCCTATAGATACTATTGCCGATGATCAAGCAGCTTATTTAGATGATATGGAGGCCTTATCCATGTCCAAAAAAAATCAGCATGTGTCTCCCTCCAAAAAGAACAGAAATCAAGCTTCTAGCTCCCGAACCGCAAAGGGGGCAGCCCTCTCAACCCCCTCTCTATCACCTTCAGCCACTTCGGTGGCCAAGGATGTTCCCCTTAATCATGGGGTACACGGACGAGAGGGGTCAGGACTTTCGGCGGGTACGGATCCGATTACACCTACGTCGGCTGCCTTATTTTGCGAACACTATGTGACCAAGGTCCGGCCCACGGCCGATCAAAATTTGGCCGGCACGCCTCCTTTCAATCACCTTGCCATGATCCCTTATGAGCCCGTGAGCCCAGCCACGAGCATACGCCCAGCTGATCACGCTACTCCGGGCTCTATCACTGATGAACCTTCGGCCTCGTGGCGATCGAGCCTAATTGATGCTGAGCGTTGGCGTTTGCAGAATGCCGAACGTTGGCATGCGGAGGAGGCCCACCTTATTGGTAACTCATTCTTTGTCACATCTCGGAAATCTTCAGATGGGTCGCATTCCCCCTCTTCTTGATGTCGGGTAAATTCTTGGTTTGGAATGCAAGGGGGGTAAAAAATAAGGCGACCCAATCCCACTTGCGCTTTATTTGTCGCCAACATAGAGTAAATTTATTGGTTATTTCTGAACCTATGACTGAGTTTGTGCATATTACTATTGTCGTCGCTTGGGTTTCGTTGCTGGTTTGTCTAATTGTGCGGGGAAGATCTGGATTTTTTGGGATCACAATTTTCGAGTCGAGTTGCTTAGGGATGAGGTACAATTATTGCATGTCAGATGCATATCTGGTTTATTTGGTGCTCCTTTTGTATTTACTGCGGTCTATGCTAGATGCTCTCGTTCCGAGCGCCGTGTTTTGTGGAATTCGTTCCGCGACATTTTTGAGACGATTGGTGACACTCCTTGGATTTCTGGGGGTGACTTCAACTCAATCTTACTTGAGTCAGAACGGAATAGATCGGTTTCGGATAGGAGACTAGATATGGCTGAGTTTGGTGCTATGGTTTCGGATTGTGAACTTTTGGATGCCGGGTTCTCTGGGGCTAGTTCTTGCTATTCTTGGGAGAGCCCTTCGGGTCTTTTGGAGCGTTTGGACAGGATTCTATATAACTCTGCTTGGCTAGATTTACTGCCTATTACGCAGGTTACCCACCTCTCACGGACCTGGTCGGATCATGCTCCTCTTTTGGTTTCATCGGCTGCTTCTTCGTCTAGGCCTCTTGCTTCATTCCGGTTTCAGCATATGTGGATCCGCCACGCTACGTTTCGTCAGATTGTGGAACAGGTTTGGGATTTTCCGTGTGCTCAGACGGGGATGCATCGATTACATACGAAGTTGAGACGATTGAAACAGAAGCTTCAGTGGTGGAATTGGAATGTTTTCGGGGACGTGTTCAAGAATAAAGAGAGGGCCGAGGCAGCTGTTCTAGAGGCCGAGCACATATATGACTTGGATCGATCCCCCGAGAATCGTGCAAATTTGAAAAAGGCCACTGCTGAACTTACTCTCATGCTCAATATTGAGGAGGACTTTTGGAAGCAGAAGGCAGCATGTAGATGGGCCACTGATGGAGAGAGAAACTCTAAGTTTTTCCACTCGTTAGTCAAGAAAAAGCGATGTGTCAATCGAATCCACTCTATCTCTCATGGTGATTTGGTTCTCACATCAGCTCAGGAGATCAAGGATTCGGGCGTTGATTTCTTTAGCAAGCTTCTTACCGATGATATGCCTAGTTTGCTTCCGGTTGATGAGTCCCTATTTTCCGCTCCTCAAAGGGACTTTTCTTCAGTATCTACTCGTCCGTCAGTTGAGGAGATCAAAGATGCGGTGTTTGGGATTTGTCGAGATAGTGCTTCGGGTCCTGATGGGTATTCTTCGCTATTTTATCAGCATTGTTGGGACTTGATCCAGTGTGATGTTTGTGAAGCGGTTTGGGATTTCTTCGAGGGTGGATCTATGCCTGCGAGCTTCACCGCTACCACCTTGGTTCTTATTCCAAAGGTGGACTTTCCGACGGCTTGGACAGATTTCCGCCCGATTAGCTTGTGCAACGTGACCAATAAAATTATCACCAAGGTACTTACGAACAGACTGGCACCTCACTTGCCCCACATTATTTCTCCTTCTCAGAGTGGGTTTGTTC